GATTCAGTGCAATCCTATCAAAAAGCTACCTCCCCCTACCCAGAAATTGACAAGCAGATTCTAAAATTCATATAAAATTCAAGAAACTCGGAATAATCAAAACAGTCTTGAAGAATAGCATAAAGTTATAGGACTTGAATGTCCTGATTTCAAAATTTAATATAAAATTACAGTAATCAGGACTGTGTGATCTGATTCTGATATAAAGACAAGCATATAACCAATGGGATAGAATTAAGAGCTCAGAAATAAACCCTTATATTTATGGCCAGTTGATTTTTTAACAAGGATGCCAAGACCTTACAATAGAGAAAGAATAATTATTTTAACAAATGGTACTGGGAAAACTGAAAAGAAAAAAAAAGTGAAAATTATTAAATACCTAGATGTAAGAGCTATAACTATAATATAAAAACTAATTGATTTGGTGACTGGGGTAATAGGAATGAGTGTGTCGGAGACAATGAGATTGGCACAGGACAGAACAGAGTTTAGGGCTGTTGTACATAGGGTCGCTATGAGTCGTAAGCGACTCGATGACACTTAACAGCAACAACAACTAAGAAGAAAACATAGAAATAAATCTGTGTCCTTGGATTATGCAATGGCTTCTTAGATAAGAGATTAAAATGCATAAAGAAAAAAATCATTTTTTCTTCATAAAAATTAAAAGCATTTATGCTTCAAATGTCACAAACAAAAAAGTGAACAGGTAGCCTACTAAACAGGAGAAAATACTTGAAAATCAAACTGATAAGGCTGTTGTTTGTGTACCATTGAATCGGAACAGACCCATAGCCGACGCTCAGGAGGGTTTTCAGAAGCAGTTAATCACAAAGGAGGTCATTGCCCATCCTTTTCCCCAGAACAGCTGGTGGATTTGACCCTCCTACCTTTGAGATTGCAGTGCCATTTCTTACCACTAGATCACCAGGTCTCCCTACTGCTATCAAAGCAATTTTGGCTCATGATGACCTTTCATTGGGTTTTTCATATTTCTTCTGTGGAATGGCTGGTAGGTTTGAACTGCTGATGTTTCAGTTGGTATTTACCATACTATATCATGAATATTCAGTTCTGTGTCTTGACCCTTATTTTTGAGACACTCAAACACTTTCCACAATGTCAGTAACTAAATAGGTGATCCAACTTATTTGTGAAATGATTATTTGAATCTGTACAGTTTCAAGTGCTTACTTATACAAAGAGTGTGTTGTTGTTGTTGTTGTTATGTGCCGTCGAGTCATTTGCGACTCATAGCCCTATGCACAACAGCCCTAAATCCTGCTCTATCCCGCGCCAACCACACTACCTCTGACACACCTATCCCGATTACCCCAGTCACCAAGTCAATCCATCTCAAATAGTGTACATACTTTAAAAAATAGTTTAAAATGCTTTATATTATTTGGCCAAACAGCAACAACACAACAAACCAACAACTCTTGTCTAGAATAAAGTGGACTATATGTAACAACAACAAAAAGACAAATAACTTGGGACATAGGTAAAGGAGTGGCATCCACTTCCTAAACTAGATGCTTCTGGAAGTTCTACAAACTCTCTAAACTCTCTAAAATGTACAGAAATGATGTTAGTTGTAGAACAGAGTTCTGCACAGAAATGATTTTCGTTATATAACAGAGTTCAGGTCTTTTCTGCAAAACTTACTCTCAGTCGTATTCAACTTGATGACACTTTACCACTGTTAAATGAAACTAGTGCTGTTTATATCTGGAGGAACTCTTCCACTTTGTACATAACTCTTTGTCAATGTGAAGTATTAAGTAGCCTGGGTTGCTGTGATACTGAACCTTGTACCATTGGTGTATCAAATACCAGAATGGTTTCCCAATGTAGACAGTGTTCGATGGAGCTCACAGTTGTAAAACAAGTTTAGAAGCAAGAGTGGCGTCCACTTCCTAAACCACATGTCTCTGGAAACTCTGAACTTGGAATTGGTGATAGTTATAGAAAGTCATTAGGTCTTTTGTTCACAGTGTCACTACAAGTCTCGCTTGACAGAATGAACAACAACAACAAGGATATACCTAGCCAATCATCATGTGAAGAGATGTTAGCAGATTTCATCTTCTCATTTATTCAAAAGTGTAGTTTGTATGATGAATAGGATTCTAAATTGTACTAGTAGTCTCCTAATAAGGAATCTAGATTTTAAAAATATATTTGTCTCTCTTGACTTATAGGTGCTTTTCTTATACAAGCTTGGTGGTTAGAAGTAAAATTAGGAATCAATTGTTGGGCAATTGGAAGGATAATTAAAAAAAAAACAAACCAAAAATCTCCACAACTTCAAACTTGCCAAATTTCACTTTCAGCCAGACTGGAGGAACCGATGTTAAGCATAGAATTTTTGTTTCCTCAGTTTTAATAAGTAAAGAAATAAAGCATAGTCCTCTTCAACACTCTTCATAGTGCTGAGAAAGTGGTTTTAAAATCCGCTATTGCAGCAGTGATGAGAGCTGAGGTAGTACTTGATGACTTTCTGTAATGATATAGCCCCATCCCTTTCGTTAGAATTCCAGCAGGATAATTACTGTTTCAGAGTGGTGGAAATGAGAACATACTCTCTTGTCAGATCAAACTTATTATATAAAAGATGATATACAGTTTATTTACAGGGGAAAAAAAAGAGAAATATCTCAAACTTTTAGGGACTGAGGATCAATATCGAGAAGACAGAGATTCTCATCACTGGGCCAATTGGCAGTATCATAATGGATGGTGAAGAGTTTGAGATTGTTGACAGTTTTAGTCTTCTTGGCTCCACAGTCAACACTCTTGGAATCAGCTGCCAGGAAATTAAAAGACATATTGCCATGGGCAAGTCTGCTGTTATGGACCTCTCCAAAGTACTGAAAAGCAATGCTGCCACTCTGGAGACTAAGGTGTGCCTGATACAGGCCATGGTCTTTGCAATCACTTACTATGCATCAGAGAGCTGGAAAATGACTAGGGATGATAGAAGGAGAATTAATGCCTTTGAGCTGTGGTACTGGAGAAGAGAATTGAATATACCATGGATTGCTAAGAAAATGAACAGTTTCATCCTGGAGAGGGTTAAATCAGGCTGCTCTTTGGAGGTAAGGATTCTGAGGCTTCGTCTGACATACTTTGGATATGTTGCAAGGAGGGACCAGTTCTTCAAGAAGGACATCATGCTTGGGAGGGTGGAGGGACAGCTCAGGAAAGGAAGACCCTCTGTGAGGTGGATTGATTTAGTGACTAGGTAATGGTAATGTGGATAGATGTGTTGGAGGTGGTGAGATTGGCACAGGACAGAGCAGGGCTTAGGGCTATTGTACAACAAGGAAAGAAGGTAAGATTGACACACCTTTCTGTATAACTCTTCGGGAATGACGTTTATCTATCAAGAGCCTTTGTCATACCTTTTGGTATGATCTAAGTAGATAATAAAGAGATCAGCAGCAGCCAATATATTTATTAGTGAGGTAATGGAGAAATAAATTCTGGTACATTACCAATAACAAATACTTAGTTTTGGTTGTTGTTGTTGTTGTTGTTGTTATGTGCCGTCCAGTCGCTTGCGACTCATAGCGACCCTATGTATAACAGCCCTAAACTCTGCTCTGTCCTGTGCCAATCGCACTGTCTCTGATACTCCCATCCCAATTATCCCAATCACTGAATAGTAACTTCTAGTAACTGAGAGAAATGATGTGAGATATTAATCAGGAAAGAAAAAGTAACATTAATTATATGGTATAATCTCAACTAAATATAAATGTCTGGGGAAAACATTAGAAGACTCCATATTGAGTTATAGATCAAGAAAACAAAAATCCTCACCAGTAGACTGAAAAGCAACATCATGATAGATGGAAAAATGATTGAAGTTGTCAATAATTTAATTTTATTTCCATCCACAACCAACACCCATATTATCAGCCATCAAGAAATTAAGAGACACATTGCTTTGGGAAAATCTGCTGTCAGAGACCTCTCTAAAGTGCTAGAGAACAACAGTTACATCGAATCCAAATCATGAACTTTTCAGTTACTTGCTATGCTTCTGAAAGTTGGGTAGTGAATAAGGATGATAGAAGAATTGATGGCTTTGAGCTGTGGTGTTCAGAAAAGAGTTCTGAATGTCCCATGGGCTGCCAAAAAAATAAACAAGTGCATCTTGAAGAAAGTGTGACCTGTGTGCTCTTTAGAGACATAGGTGGTGAAACTTTGCCTCCTATGCTTTGGGCATGTTGTCAGGAGGTATCCAATCCTTGAAAAGGGGATAATGTGCAGAGAGAGGAAGAGAAGAAAATCCCCAACAAGGTGGACTGACGCAGTGATTGTAACAGGGAACTTGAACGTAATCAGAAGTGGGGAGGATGGCACACGATAGAGTGGGGTTCAGATCTGTTGTTCACAGGGTCACTGTGATTAATAGTCAAACAATAGCCCCTATCAACACAACAACAAACTAACGAATTGTGAGCAGGGACGTTATGGTGGCATAATGAGCCATTGATTTTTTTTTCCTTGATACTTTCTTCTTTAATTCTTTTAAAACATTGTCTACAGTGAGCACAAAAATACTTTGCAGTAATTTATCTTGATCTGATTTCAAACTTAAAGAAAAGTTAAAAAAGAATTAACACTAGAAATTCCTGTATATGCTTTATCCAGACTCACTCATTGTTTACATTTTGCCCCATTTGCTTTATTATTTTCCCCTCTGGTTTAATTAGCATGCATGCACAAAAAAAAAATGACTGAATATTATTTTTTAACCATTGAGAAGAAATTGGAACATATCCTTTATCATTAAATATTTCAAAGTTATAACCTAATAAACAGTTTCTTAAAATAAAAAAAAATTACTGTTGATAGAATACTCAGATTTTTTAAAAAGTATAAAATAAAAATATTTGGCATATGCTATACTCTGATTTCATCCAGCAGTAAATATTATGAATTACTGCAGGAGATGTTAATATGTGTTTATATTTTTTTTAAAGGGAGAAGTTTGTTAGAACTTGGAGGAAACAATGCCATTATTGGTAAGATTGCCTTTTATTTGTTGTGTTTTCCATTCAGAAATATTTGCAGCCATAGTGAATACATAGCACTTGAGGAACTGATCCCTTTACTCAGCAAGACCTTCTGTGTTGTATGTGCCTCAGACATAGTTCCTGCTTTAGAATGTTACCTGTGAGGTGGTACCAGCTTGGCTGGAAGACATGGATAACTGTGAGGGAAGGGGTGTCCTGTTCAGGATGTGTGACTTTGGGTCTAGAGTCTGTGAATGTGTCAACCACTGAGATGTAGCACGGTTTCTCTGTGGCTCTGCTTCCTTTCTGAAAACTGGCCACCTGCTACCCTAGAATTAGTAGCTCTTGTTATGTGACTTGATAAATCCTTTATTTGCCAAAAACTTTAGTTTATGTCTGTTGGAATCTTGATCGCTTTTATATTAGAAAAGAAAAATTTGTTAAGACTTTTTTTTAAAAAGTCACTTAGGCTATAGGTTTAAAGATTACTTAAAAAATGTACTTATCTTTTTTTTTAATTTGAATTTGACACAGAATATCCTACCAGCTTAATATCTGCATAATGGGATGAAAATTAGCATGTTGAGACTTAACAGAAGCATAATAGTTGTAATGAAAAGCAATTTCTATCTTGGCATCATTGCTTTCATATGCCCATATAATCATCATATAAAATATTATAAAGGTCACTATGAGTTGCAGGTGACATGATGGCACATAACAACAGACATTAGAAGTTTAAAAATACATAGTGAAAGTTTGTTCCACTTAAACTTTCAATCTAGTTATATCTTTTAAAGATATAGTAACATTTTATGAGCAGTAGGAATTTGTCAGGTTATTCTAGTGGCTTAATGCAAATAGTTGTGCTGCTAGTTATAAGGCAGGTGGTTCAAATCCACCAGCTGCTCTGAGGGAGAAAGATAGACAATCTCCTGTGCAATTTACAGCCTCTGAAAACTCACTGAAGGGTCAACTATGAATCATTTCTGACTCAACATATAAAACAGCATCAACAAGCATTTGCCAGCTACTGTGCTAGGTTGTTTTAGATCAATTGTTTTATTTAATCATCCAAATACTCTTACAAGGTAGATAACATCATTCTCTTAATTTGAAGATAATGCCAAAACATAAAGAGATGCTGTACCCTAGGTCAGCAAGTGATAGACAAAGCCCTTGTATCCAGCAGCCAGTCTCTAGACCACTTCGCTTCCCTAAGCTTGTTAACTAGGTTTTATTGCCCTGTTTTATTAAGGAAACTGAGTCATACAAAATTAAAAGAACACAATTAAAATGCGCTGCCATTAGGTAAGAATCTTGGTCTGTTTGATTCACCGTGCCCCGTTTTTTACCATTATGCTAGTCTAAGAATTCCATTAGAGTTGAGGAGAGGTAAAATGGAAGATGAAAGAAGTAATGTTAGCTATAAATTTCTAGATCCTTAAAAGAGGGAAAGAAGTACTAATAATATAAATGGAGGGGTTACCTTTGTAAATGCTCTCTTGAATTTGTTTTCTCAGGGTGGATGGATGGATGGGAAGGAAGGAAGGAAGGAATAGACTCTAATATGGAGGAATTTGGAAGTGATGTTGCTCTGATCTCTTCAGAGGAGTAGAAAAGCTTGAAGAGACCCTGAGTGCAATCATGTTGAGGTTTCTCATGATGTGAGATTTTCCGAGGCAGGAGCAGAGAGTTTGAGTTTCAGAAAGCTGGAAGCTCTATAAGATGGCAGCATGCGGCATTAGGGACTCATATTGCTACCCCAAAGACGATGTGTATCTAGCAGTTTGAATTCACCAGCTATTCCCAAAGAGAAAGATGGGTAATCTCCTCTTATACTCGTCACAGCCTTTGAAAGCTTGCTAGAGGGTTGGTTAATTGTGAGTAGGTCCAATTCAATGGCAATGACAGAGTGAGACTGATGACAATAAGAGTTGTCTATATTACTAGATTCTGTGGCTTGATCATGGTGATAATTGGAAGGATTACATTGTTCTTTCTTATTACCTGTGGGCCCTGAGAGACTGGCATCAAAACCGGCCATAAGCCAAATAAACTGAAAAAGAGGATAATGGCCTTAGAGCAGAGACCCTAAGGTGAATACAGAGGATATTCAGTCATCAGAAACTGGGAGTGATGAAAAATTAAATTCTAGGTCCCCCTTGTACATTTGCACTTGGGTAAAGAACCACAAAGCTCAGTGTTCTTTGTTCTGTTGCCATAAAATCTTCTCTGGGAGAAAACTTACCTTTTTCCCTAGTGACTACATGAGTCTTTTAATGTGAACATGCTTATTTTTTCAGAGATAATTTTAGTGTTTATTTACCATACTCTTTAAAAGCATCATTTTATGCCAGTTACCAACCACCCTCTCTGACTGCACTGCCACTGCACTGATGGATGTGTGTTTGTGCTTCCCTAAGCTTTTGAAGATGCAGACCTCAGTTTAGTCGTTCCATCAGCTCTCTTTGCGGCCGTGGGGACAGCTGGTCAGAGGTGTACGACTGCGAGGCGGCTGGTGAGTGTGCGTTTGTGGACAAATGAACTTGTCCTGTTCTTTAGACACCACTTTGTAGTGAGATCTACTTTTAGGAAGGTATTACAAAAGTATTACTAGCAAAATGTATTCCCTGACATGGTCGGCAAATATATAGCTGGTCTATTTTTACTCTGCTTATCAGCCAGGTGCTTGACTTACTCCCCTTTCCCAGTGACACTAAGAATGATTGCATGTGGCCTGGGAGAAATCTGTTCTCTTTCCTGGAAAAATGTGGACCTTTATCCATAGTCACTTAGAGAATGAAACTTAATACAAAAATGACAAAATCCTTAGCAAAAAGGTAGACAACCTGGCTAACAGATAAACATCTTATAAAAATAAAGCTTTTAGTTTTTGTCCTCTATCTTAGGATGTGACATGTTTAGTGAAACATTCTAGAAATACATCATCTGTGCACGTATAAGGAACTCCGGTGGCGTGGTGCATTCTGTGTTGTAATGTTAACTGATAGGCCAGTAGTTCAGAACTTGTAGGTGGTTCACAGGAGAAAGATGGGCAGTCTTTCCTATAAATATCTACAGCCCTGGAAACCAGATGGAGGATCACCATGAGTCAGAAATGACTAGATGGTAGTTGGTTTGGTACACGTACACCTGCATATATGTTATTGTATTTGGCAGGCTCCATCAGGTCAGTGATCGCTCATGGCGGTCCTCTGCACGACAGAATGAAACCCTGCCTCAGCCTGCACCATCCTCACAGTCTGCTGTGTTTGAGGTCATTGCTGTCGTCCCTGGGTCATCCCATCTCATTAAGGATCTTCCTCTGATTTGCTTATCATCTGCTTTTCCAAGGTCAATGTCTTTTTTTCCATATATTGGCTCCTCCTGTTGGCTATCTGTCTCTTGGACAGGCTCAGGTGGCCTATGGCAAAAAGCTGCACTGCAATGCCAAAGGCACACGGTTTAAGGCCACCATCTTCTCTGCAGGAGACAGATGGACAATCTCCTCCCATGCAATTAACTGCCTCTGAAAATCTGCAGAGGGTCAGCCATGGGTTGGATCCAACTCTTTGGTACACAACAACCACCACCACAACAGCATCTGAAGATTTATCCTGAAGAGTTTGGAAAGTTTAATCCCTATGCCCTCACCTGAGTAGGATTTTAGTTTGTATACGATATTTCATCACTATTTTGTAACATGGGGAAATTGTGTATGTATATTACAATCGACCAAATTGTACTTGTTGGAGAATTTACCTGCTTTTGCTGTTATTTTCATTAGAAAATTGATTTCTCCTACTACAATTAAAAACAAAAAAAGAGTTCACAATTGGGTTGTAAAAGAGTGGGCTATAGGTTTTGACTCTCATTGTGAGCATGGACAGTGAATAAGGATGACACAAGAAAAACAGATGCCTTTGAGTTGTGGAGTTGGAGAAGAGTACTGAATATCCATCCCATGGACTGCCGAAGGAACAAACAGATGTGTTTTGGAGAAGGTGAAGCCAGAGTGCTCTTTGGAAGCAAAGATGGTGAAGCTTCATCTCTCATACTTTGGGCATGTTGTTAGGAGGGGCTGTTCTTGGAGAGAGACATCATGTGCAAAGGTGGAGGGATGGCAAAGGAGAGGATGACCCTCAACCAAGTAGACTGACAGTGACTGCAGCAATGGGCTCAAGTGCATCAGAGATTGTGAGTTTGGCACAGGATAGGACAGGATTTACATCTCTTGTTCATAGGGCCTTTATGACTTGTACTTGATGATACTTAACAGTAACAATCAGTGAACATGAACAAATTCTTTTTGAATAAGGTTGACATAATCTAATTGAATAGCAATAAAAGACATGAATAATTCAGTCTATCTCTCCTATTTCACTTTTTAGTATTTTCTGTTTCACAGCAAATGAAAATAATTTTACATTACTCAGTTTTCAAAAATTCTAAGATGACAGTGTTGATAAAGTGCTTACAGTTTATTAAATTGTTTTGCTTGAACGTTTATTCCATTAAAGCTAAGGAAGGAGACAAAGCCCATGGTTGTCGAGTTCATTCCTACTCTTGGTGACTGTGTAGGAGGGACACGGGACAGCTGCCTCAGAGGGTTCCCAGGCTGTGATCTCTGTGGAGGGTTATGCTTCATTCTCCCATGGAGCAACCCCTGGGCTCCAGCTGTTGGCTTGTAGCTGAGCATTCAAGCACTGTGCCACCAAGTCTCCCTGAAGGAAGTGGGTACTCCAAAAAGATTGTATCTTGGACCAGAAGGTTGATAGGGAATGATGTGAAAGTCAAGCATTTCTCTGTTGAGCAATAGCTATTCTTTTCTTTTATCTTGGAGCGAATCATGCATAGACATGCTTTTTATTTAATGCTAAATATAAATATTAGTTATGGCCTAATCTAATTTCCATAGAACAGCAGTGTGTAGGAAAAGAAAAATTACAGTGTCATAGACCTCTCCACAACTGTTGTTGCTAATTATGTCCTGTGGAGTTAGAACCGACTCATAGCTGACGCTCCAGTGGGTTTTCTGACTCATCACTGACCTTATGGTGGTTTTTCATAGACTGCTCCCTACATTGAGGCCATGTCATTTCATTCATTCCATGGATATCAGCTCAGATTGTATGACTTGGAACATACTCTATCTCTGGGAGTATAACAAGGAGTGTGTATACCACATAGAGTGAGCACAGGCTTATCCTCATTCAATTAAGACTGCATTTTAAATACCTTTTTGCCTATAGTCTAAGTACATATGGTTACACAGCAGGGGTTACTGACCAAACATTGTGATATGTGTTTACTGTGACTTATACAATTATGTTATGGAAGGTTCTTTGGTAATTAGGACATCAAATACTCTAGAACAGAGCCAGGATTAATGAAGATTGTGAAGCTTATTCAAATAGGCCCTTGGAAAGGCGCTAAAAATATGTCTCACTATTCTAACATCTACCTGAAGAAATTATTCTTATGAATGCTAATACTATTAATCCTGTAATTTTTTTGAGAAAAACACGTTTCCACAGTTAACTTGAACAACACAGGGGTTAGGAGCACCTACCTTCTGCACAGTCAAAAATCAGTGTATAATTTCTAGTTGGCCCTTGAACCACATGGGTTTGAAATGAGTGGTCCAACTTTCATATTTCTCTCCAGTAAATTATATGCGAGAGATGAACTGCCCACACTGAAGTCCTTAGTATCACAGGATGTTTTAGGAGGATACTTTTAACACTTGAAAGGGCCATGGGCATTGCAGTGGACTAATAAATGTTGGGCTGCTTACCAGACAGTCGACTGTTCAAATCCACCAGCTGCCTTGCAGGAGACGGATGTGGCAATTTGCTTCTGTAAAGATTTACTGCCTTGGAAACTGTAGGAAAGCAGTTCTACTTTGACTTTAAGGGCCTCGACAGATTGGAACAAATTTGATTGCAGTGGGGGTTGTGGTGACATAACACGAGAGCTCACTGCAATAACAACAGAAAAAATATCGGCATCTGTGTGGACTCGGGCACTTCAAGCCTGTGCTGTCCAAAGGTCAGCTGTATTATTTTATATTTTCAGAGATCTTAATATTTCAGAAATATTTTCAATAAAATCAATTACATGTTGCTAAAAGGAATTTGTGCATGTATTTTACCAATCGCTTTCATATTTCTCTTTTCCCCCTCTTAGTTTTTACATGAAAGCATCCATGATGAAGTTGTAAATAAGCTTAAAAAGGCGTATGCGCAGATTCGTGTGGGGAACCCATGGGACTGTGAGTATCTGGCTCATTTTTAAAGCTTTCCCCTTTTGGCAGCTGACGGTATCAGTGTTTCTCCTCTCCTCAGCGTTATTTATGTATTTCTGTTTAATAGGGCATTGAGATGACAGTGTGTATTCCCTAGGATGGGAACCTGAGTACTCGATGGCAGTTTGTGGGTGCAATTAGGATATTTTATCCACAAGCTGTTGTTTAGATGGGTGCAATTTGCCTAGTTCTATTTTATTCTATTATTGCTCTTGTCTAATTCACTGCCATAAGACACTGTAGGAATTTCCTGACTTTTTTTACTTCCATTTTTTTCTTCCATAGTAAGCAGTGATTTTCATCATGTGTTAGGAGAGTTCACTCTCCTACTTGAAACATACCAGTGACCTCTCATTGCTCAGAGGCAGTAACCTAGACTTGTTAGTGGCTCACCTTTTTCAGGGTCTGACCTCTACCTTCTTCCTTGCTTACCTTCCATTCACCTTGTGTGCCATTTGCACCTGGTTCTCTGAGCGCCATCAGTGCCTCAAGCCTTCTAGCCCTGTTCTGCTGTCCCCACGGGCTCCCAGCAAAAATAGCACCTCTTCACAGATGCCTGCCGAAATCTTCCTTTGCTTGTAGTTACCTTTACTGCTAAGTCCTGCCGGGAACATCACTCACTCTCCTCCCGTGTGGATTGTAGATCTGCAGCCGAAACCATAAAGTTGTTGGAGGATGAGCACATTGGTCAGGAATAAACTAGTCCTGTATTTTTCATGTGATTCCCTTAAGAATTAATTCTCATTCTTCTAAACTAGGGAGGCAAACAGATTTGACCTGTTTCTGTGAGTTTGCTGGAACACAGTCATGACAGTTCATTGTTACACATTGTCTGTAACAGCTTTGTTGCTGTGATGACAGAATTGAGATCACAGACATCACATAGAGCCTAAAATACTTGACTCTTTGACATGCTAGAAATAAAGGCTGCTGCCTTTTGATCTGGACTGAAAGGAGATATGAAGGGGTTGATCTGTTGAGTGTGAAAGCTACTGTGGTAATAAAATGATGCATTTAGGGGAAACTAGAGGTATTTAGAATATTTCTTTTCTCCTTCCAGCTAATGTTCTCTATGGACCATTACACACGAAACAGGCAGTGAGCTTATTCCTGGCGGCAATGGGTGAAGCCAAGAAACAAGGGGGCACAGTGATCTGTGGAGGCACGGTGAGTAAAATGGTCTGGGAGTCATAGCTTATTTTTTAGAAAAGAAAAACAACCCCCAAACCTTTTTTTTTCCACTTTAGGTACAAGCAGGGATTCTTCTCCTCAGTCCTATTATAATGATTGGGTAGATATTTTAAAGACAGATTCTGTAACATGCATGTAACAACTCTTGAAGAATACATATAAAAAAACCTCATAGATTTGCGTAGACAAAAGACCATTTCATGAGAATGAAGACTTTGTATTCAGAGCAGGTATAATTCATATTTATTGGTTATTTGGCAGTTAAGGCCAGATATCCTTAAGAAAAGACATACAATAAGGATTTTATTTTAATGCATATGATTACATTAATGTACTACCAAATATGTTTTCTTCATGTCTGGTTAGATATAATTCCTTGTATAAGCTATACACATAATTTATTATCTACAGCTGATAATTGCAGCTCACATTTTTAAAAGTTCATTAAGAAAAGAGTCTCTTATAAAGCATTCTGAGAACAAAATCTTTCTAGGCCATTACTATTTCCTAACTCTCTATACTTTCTTCACTCTTTTTATACTGTTGATGCAGCCATATCTAGTTGTGTATTTTTAGTACTACCTATACTCAGCTTTTTCCAAAGCAATTTCTTTAATCTTTTTAGAATTGCTTTGTTTTCTTGCTTTGCATAGTGTTTCTTTAAGTCATGTAATGCAATATTCCATTATAGTAACAAATTCAGCTAGTATACTTGCTGTGGAATTGGGAATAAATACAGCTGACTCTTGGTAGGCACACAGCTCAAAGGCTAAGAGCAGAAATCTAGAGAGACATTAGAGAGTCATCACCTTGCCAGAGCAGCTGCCGATGGATATCAGACTGTTTTAAGAATGAAAAGTGAACATTAATTAAGTGGAGAGGAGCTAATAATTTCATTACATGGAAGTTGACTAAGAGAGTGTCCGTAGTGTATCCTTTTGGCTCTTTTGGTTTCTGTATAATAGCTGTGTGGTTGTTATTAATTGCAGTCAAGTCGATTCCAACTCCTCAGGATTCTGTATACAACAGATCTGAACCATGCGCGGGCCGCCCCCCCCCCACCCCCATCGCGTGCCTTCCTCACAATCTGCTCTTGTTCTCAGGCTCATAGTTACATTCGTTATGTCACTTCATCTGCTTACGGGGCTTCTCCTTATCTGACCCTCTGCTTTTCCAAGTCACTTTTCCAGTGACTGGCGCCTCCTGGTAACCCAGTGTATGTGAGATGGGAAGGCTCGTCAGATTTGCCTCTAAGGAGCACTCTGACTCCACCTCTAAAGAACAATAGATGTGGAGCTCTGGTGGCCTAGTAGCAAGAAGCTGTGCTGCAATCCCAAAGTCATGTGGTTCGAATCCACCAGGTGCTCCACTGGAGAAGGAGGGGTAATCTTCTCCTGTGCCAGTTAGATCATTTGATGGTAAACAACAAGAAAAAAGAAAAAAAAAGAAAAGAATGATAGACTTATTTTTAAATGACATAAATAAAAAAACCCACTACTATCATGACATTTCTTTTCAACTTGGTCATGATACTGTTGTTGACTTTCTCTTTTTTTTACTTTCCTCTGACCAATTTATGCTAGAACTAATAGTAGGGAGAGAACTTTCATTCATGTTGGAATTGTGGTTTTGAAGAAAATAAATCACATAGTTTTATTATTTTTATCATATTGTTATGATTAGGTGCTATCAAGTCAAGCACGACTCATAGCGACTCTGTGAACCACACACCTGGACCCTGGCCTATCCTGTGCCGTCCTCCTCATCTATGATACATTTGAGCCCATTGCTGTGGTCACCGTATCAGTCCATCTCATTGAGGGTCTTTTTGTCTTTTACTGGGCTTCCACCTTTTCTAGCATGATGTCCCTTGCCAAGAAACATGTTCAAAGTATGTGAGATGAAGTATATGCAAAACTTGTGTCTCTAGACCTTAATGCTAGAAAACAAGTGTTTGAATTCTTATTTTCTCTACTCAAGGCCATGGACCGCCCAGGGAACTATGTAGAACCGACCATCGTGACAGGCCTCGCCCATGATGCCGCCATTGCGCATACAGAGACTTTTGCTCCAATTCTTTATGTCTTTAAATTCAAGGTAACAGTTGATTCTTTATTCTCAAGTCAAAACAAATGAAAAGACTAGGGGGAAAATGAAGGTATATTACATTCCATTTAATTAGCCTGTAGAGAGGTTATTTTAGGAGGTTTTTCTAACTAGTTAAAATTTGAAAGTTAAGGATAAAATAAAATGAGATGAATAAAATATGTCACCTTAGACTCCATAATTATAGCTGCTCCCCCACACTAGAGGTGTGGAGATCTGGACAGGCTGCTGCTGAGTATCAACAGATGTAAGGAGTAAATGTGGGACAGTCTAAAGGCCGATGGCTATGACCTGTATCAGAGGACAGGCTGTTCAGATTCCAACTAGTGGAGGTAGGTGGTCTAATAGCTTACAAGCTAATATGTAGAATTAGTATTGAACACATCATGATTATGTTAAAAGGTTAATGAGAATTGCACTATTTTGCAAATATATCATTGCATTTCTTCATAACTTGCTTCAAATGATCTATCATTCTTTCATATAAAGGAAACCCCACTACAATAAATCAATTCCAATTGTTAGGGACCCTGTAGGACAGTGTAGAACTGCTCATAGGATTTCCAAAACTATAATTGTTTGTGGAAATACACTGCTGTATCTTTTGACAACCACCTGGTTGGCTTGAATCCCTGACCTTTTGATTAACAACTGAGTACTTTAACCATTGTCTATCTCACCAGCATGCCTTTTCATATACAATGACTGGGTTGGTGGTGTTTTGTTTGGTTTTTAAAAAAAGAAAATAACTAAAATGTACTGCCACTGAGTTGATTCCAACTCATAGCAACCCTGTAGAATAGGGTGGAACTTCCTTAGAAGGTTTTCAAGACTGTAAATCTTTATAGGAGCAGAAGCTACAGCTTTCTACCATGGAACAGCTGATATATTTAACTACTGATCTTTGGTTAGCACCAGAGTTCTTTAATCCATTGCTGTCAAATCCGTTATATTCATAGCAATCCTGTAAGGCTGGCTAGAACTGACCTGTAGGGTTTTCAGAGTTGTAAATCCCCATGGAAGCATGCCCCTATAACTCTTTCATGAATTGTCTGGTGGCCTTGAACTATCAGCCTTTGGGTTAGCAGTTGAGAGCTTTAACCACAGAGCCAACAGGGCTCCTATAGTGATAAAATCCAAAATCTCTTTGGAGTTGATTCAAACTAAACCACCCTCCATTGGGTTTCTGAGGCTGCAAATATTTATGAAAGGAGAGGGCCCATCTTTCTCCCTTTGAGCTACTGGTGGCTTTGAACTACTGACCTTTAATGCACCATACCAACAACGCTCTTTAGAGTGACTATTGAAAATAGCGATTGCCTATTTTGTGTGTGTGTATGTGTGTGAGTGAGAGACTATAATACTGTGGAGAAAGAAAGTGAACCTCTTGGAAAGAGTTTCTTGACAGCGTATTTGCCCAGTGCAGCATATCATTTGAGTTCTTGACTGCTGCTGCTCTGGGTACACTTAGTGGTAAGGAGGTGTACTGCCAGAGCCAGGTGCTTTTACCAGCTGCTCTGTGGGAGAAAGATGAGCAGACTCCTTCCATGTGATTTACAGCCTTTGAAAACCCATTGGAGGGTCAGCTGAGTCCATTTCAATGCAACAGCCCATATCAACAGCCACCATGGGTTTTTATTGTGGATTTAAGTAACATGAAACACATCCTTATATATCCTTAGATCGTTTATCTGCAAAATTAAGATTCTGTAGACCTGTATCATAGAATAGGATTAGCTAAGTCTAAGAATGAAAAATTTTTGAATCAGTGTATTCTATGGGGAATACTAATCGTCATTTCTCAATAAAGCATAGTTGGGGGGAATTAAAGAAACACTTAAGAGAAGCATACAAATACAATATGAGTTTTTCTTCTTTTTGTGTGCTAAAATTATCCTGGTATGTATTAGAAATTATTTTAGTATCAGTGAATTTTGTCCTGTATACTGTGTCACCTGACAACTTCTTCTACCCTTGCCTTAGGATGAAGAACAGGTCTTTGCCTGGAATAATGAAGTGAAACAGGGACTTTCAAGCAGCATTTTTACCAAGGATTTGGGAAGAATCTTCCGATGGCTTGGGTATTTATCTATTTTTAATATCTGTGTAAATTGGATTTGTGAGATGACTGGACTTTTGAAAACTATCAGTGTTGAAAAGCCTTTTTAGTGTTTTTGTTTTAATTTCCTATGTATTACTCTCATCTTGCTTTCTTTTTACACACAGTCCTAAAGGATCAGACTGCGGCATTGTAAACGTCAATATTCCAACAAGTGGGGCCGAGATTGGAGGTGCATTTGGTATGTGGAGAATTATTACTCATTTCCCATGCTGGGCTCATGATTTACTGACTGTGCAAAGGTATTTGAATGTGTGCATCACAACAAATTGTGGTTGACATTGAGAAAAATGGAAATAGTGAAACCAATACCTAGAATCAGAAGCTGTTGTACAAACAGAGCAAGGGAACATTGCATGGTTCAAAATGAGGAAAGGAATAAGTCAGGGATGCATCCTTTCTCCATACCTTTTTAATCTAAATGAGGGACAGATCATTCGGGAGGTTGAACTTTATTAAGAAGAATGTGACATCAGGGTTGGAGGAAGACTCAACCTGCATTATGTAGATGACACAACCTTGCTTGCTGAAACTGAGCAAGACTTAAAAGCATTTGCTGCAGAGGTCAAGGATTGAAGTTTTCAGGATGGATTGCATCTCAATATCAATAAAACAAGATTCTCACCACCAGGCCAATAGGCAGCATCATGATAGATGGAGAAAAGATTGAGACTGTTAAGAATTTCATCTTGCATGGTTCCACAATCAACACTCTTGGCACCAGTAGTCAGGAAATCGAAAGATGAGTTGCTTTAGGAAAGTCTGCTGTCAGGGACCTGTCTAGAGTGCTTAGTCTAGAGACAAAGGTGCGTCTGATCCATGCCATTGTCTTCACAATTACTTGCTATGCATCTAAGAGCTGGACAATGAGTAAGGATGACAGAAAAAGAATCACTGCCTTTGAGTTATGGTGCTGGAGATGAGTATTGAACATACCATGAACTGCCAAGAGAACAAACAGGTCCATCTTGGAGAGGATGAAACTCCTTCAAGGCAAGAATACTGAAACTCTAGCTCACATACTTTGGGCATATTGCCAGGAGGGACCAGTCCTTGGTGAAGGTCATAATGCGTGGAAGGGTAGAGGGTCAGTGCAGGAGAGGAAGATCCAGGATGAAATTTATTGATGCCGTAACTGTGGCAATAGGGACAGGTATGTCAGAGATGATGGGATTGGGCCAGGATAGGGCAGAGTTCAGAGCTGTTCATAGGGTTGCTGGAAGTTGTAGTTGACTTAACAGCACATAACAACAACAACCCTAATACAAATTCTCAAGAGAGCTCTTATTCTATACTCTTGGGTTTCTGCCCTGGACCCTGTGTTCTATTCTGATGCAACATTCTGTTAGAAATACAGTCCCTCACCACAACAAGATAAAGGTAAACAATCAAGTTGAAAAGTGGGCACAGGATATGAACAGACACTTCACCAAAGAAGGTATTCAGATGGCTAACAAGCACGTGAAGAAATGTTCAAAATCCCTAGCTCTAAGAGAGATGCAAATCAAAACAAGTATGAGAACATCTCACCCCAGTAGGAACAGCAAAATTTAACAGAGCAGCAAGCAACAAATGCTGGCGAGATTGTGGAAAAACTGGAACCCTTATTCACTGTTGGTGGGAGTGTAAAATGGTGCAACCACTGTGGAAGGCGGTATGGCGTTTTCTCAAAAAGTTACAAATAGAGATAC